CGATCCGAAATTTTGGATTAATCCGAAATTTTCAGTTCAGTTCAGATTTTTACCGGTTTACGGTTCGGTTCGGTTTCGGATTGGCATTTTTAGGATTTATAATCTGAACTGAACCGAACCGAAATTTTCGGATCGGTTTTGGATTGGCCTATAATCCGGACCGAACTGAACCGTTCGGAGCATTAAAAACATCATTCTTGAATGATAAAAATATCATTCTTAAATGATAAAACATCATTCTTGAATAATAAAATCATAACTAACTGGCAGGACTTCACAAATTAATGACATCACACAGCCTTTTCAATTTCAGGCTTAACTATCTTAAAAGTTAAAAACAGGTTAAATCCTGAAACAGCAAGAGCAATTATTTGTATGAAGCATTGGATTTCAGAAAAAAGGATTGTAGAAAATATATAAATTTATATTAAAATTGTTGGGATGAATAATAAGGCGAAATTATTTCAGTCAAAAGTTTGATAGGAATAATGTTTCAGTAATAATAGATCGCAAAAAAAATTTTTTTTGTATTATTCGACTTTTTTTTCGGTTTATTTGTATTATAATAAAATTTTTGTATTGGGAATGTTGAGTATCGCACAATTTTTTTATAGTTTCGTCAAAGATTTTTACAATAACCTGTATATATAAACTCCGGTTTAAATTTCGGTCTAGACTCAAGTTTCAAATCGGTCTACAAACCGATCCAGTTCGATTTTACCCTCAAACCGATAAAAATCGGACCGAAACCGAACTGGTCGAACCGTTAACATCCCTACATATTTGTACGACATAACTATGTCCGGGTTAGGGGATGGGCGCTAATAATTAACCAAAGGATATTTTTAGTTGTCAAAAATTTTTTTCACAAATTATATTTAGAATTGTATAGTGATACCATAATTTTCCCTATAAATAATGTTGAATTTAATTATCCGTTTCAAGTCGGTAAAAATTTTAAAATGTCAAAGAAGACTCCTCCACCCACTTCTAATTTTTTAACAAGGGTCTTCTCACGACCTTCATCCTCCTCTTCAAAGACGAAACCCAAATCTAAGAAGCCATCAACCAAAACATCCTTTTTAAAACCCTGGAAAAATAATTCTCAACTCGCTGCATATACATCAAAAAATTCCACGACAATATCATTTTTAACAATAAATATTAATTCAACAGATATATTCGGTATAAGCATATTATTTAAAGAAATATCAGCACTATTAGATATACATTTTACATTCCTTTCAAAGCAACCAGACTTTATCAGATGGTTTATAATATTATGGGAAATGACGGTTGTTTCTATATGCATATTACATTTAGGAAGGTTGCTTGATATTTTATGGATTACAACTAAATTAATTGATGACGGAGCTAGAAGCTTTGTAGACTTATTATTTGGGATAATTGTTGCGACATATAATTTCTTTACTTATATATTTTAGGTAGCATTACTATAGAAAAGATAAATGTATAAAATGGGATCCAAAGATTTACATGTATTAAGAGACTTTAATGCTTTTAGATTATGTTTTTAGATGATGGAAGGATCATTTATAAAATGGTTATATAAGTTATTATTCAAAAACGACAGATTGAAATCATCAACTTTGAAGATTTTCTTGATGCTGCATTGTAAACCTCAACCAATGTGTGATTTCTAAAACCGTAATCAGAATCCTTTATTCCGAGATTCAACTTGGAGCTTTATGAAAACAAAATCACTTATTCTTGACGAAGGCTTGAACACTTTACACAAACGAAAATTGCAGGACCGGGTTTTATTAGATCAAAGAAAGCTCATTCCAAGTGACTAAATAGGGACAATAAAATCTGTGAATACCGCTGTCTGAAGAATCGTGGAATTCAAAGGGTAAATACTACAATTGCATTCGAATAGCCGAAAAAAATTCTGGCAAAAAAAAAGAGAGAAATTATCATCTCACCATGGGCGTGATGAAGATCCGTCTGTCGTATATTACCTTACATACCTGCCATCGTTTCCTCAACCCACAATCATATTTCAGTGAAGGATATATTTTTTATTTCAATTCGTTTCTTTGGGACTGACTATCCACAAATATATTTTTATTTATTTATTTATCTTACATATGTTTCATTCTATGAGACTATTAGCGATTGCGTTGTAATGACATTCTTACTTAAATTTCATTTCTAATTCTTGCTTTTTCTAAATTTATCATTAAAATATTTCAACGATATTGAGAAGACCCATATGATGATGATTCTTTTACAATAATCATTAATTTTTGGAAGTTGTTTGGACCAGAATTAACACGTGTTTGCTATTCATATTCATGGTATATGTTTAATAAAGAATTTGAAAGTCAAAGTCAAAATATATAATGGAATGTAATTGATAATGAAAAAATATGAAAAATCTTGAATATAATTATTAATTAATGGATGCTATTTTTTCAAAATTTTTTATTATTTTATTTAATACTATATTTAGTAAAAGGAGGAAAAACTCAAAAAAAAATAAATGTTACTTTATATGCTAAATACAAGTTTTTATATCAGTTCAGATTGCAAAGCATTCATATTAAAATTTTCAAATAATTAACAATTATTTATAAAAATATATAATATCTTTGATAAATTTTTCTAAATAAATAATATAATTTATTAATATGTTTACATAACAATTATATTGAAAAGAATAAAGTAAAATAAAATAAAAATTTTCTAAATTTAGTTATTTTAAACAAATTATAAATTATAAAAAGATTTTATCCCAAAATTTTATTTTTTATTTTTATATATATATATTTATATATATATAAAATAAAGTATTATTAACGTTAATTTTTTTTAAAAAAAGAGAGAAAAATCTTTGAAAAAATATATATATTATCTTCATATATATACAAAGTAAACAAATCTTTATAATTTAAATCAAAAAAGAACCAATAATTTATATCAAATAAGAATACAACGTAAAAAAAAAAAATTTTTTTCTGTATGTGAAGTTTATGTGTTGTAACTATTTAAATAAAATATATAAATAGAATTCAAATAAAGTATCTTAAGTTAAATAAAATCTTTTTAAAATTTCTATAAAATAATCTTCTATTTCGTTTAAATAAATGAAGAATGAATTAAATATTGAGAAAAGATATATAACAAAAGGAAGTGGGATAAATTAAAATATGGATGTATTAATACCAAAAAAAAAAGTAGATAAATAAAATGCGAGATAAAAATTTCTTCTTTTGAACGAATTAGATTTTCAATAATGTTAAATTCACAAATCATCATTTTTTTTACTTTCATTGGCAATATTAGTTATGTCACCGTTCGCATTTGGATTATTTTGCTGATTCGATTCTTCATTCTGTGAACTTTGAGCATCCATCACTGAAAGTATTTCATACATAGAATCACGCTTATTAAAGCTTCTTACTGTTAATCGACGACTATTCCGCGTTTCAACTGAATCCGCATCTGAAACAGTATCTTCCGTGGATTCTACATGAACACTAGAAGTCGAATTAGGACGCGGTAAACCATTTGGCGTCGGTAGACGTGGTGAAACTGGTGCTGAACGTATCGATGAATTGATCGGTGAAGATGTTGATTCATCTGCCGAATCAGAAGATAAACTTTCATCATCATCTGCTTGAAGAGCAAGATCATTGACTTCTTCTTCATCTGAAGAATCAACTCGACGTAACTTTTTAGTACCTGTCAATTTTCTTTCCAAGCCAACCACTTTCTTGGGTGCTCCGTCCATATAATGCATACTGTTACGATTACTCCTTCCGTCGATGTCTTCACGAAGGTCACGGCGCCGCAAAACATTTTTTGGTGATAATACACTAGGTGAAAGAGGGGCTACATCAGGATCATTATTCGTTGTAGATTGCGAAGTTTCTACTGATTTATTATTTTCTTCTATTCTAGAATTAGACTCCTCACTTTCCTTATTTTCAGATGGAGGTGCGTCTATAGTTCTAGGTGCAGCTGTACCGTTGCTATCAGTAAAGAAAATGTAATCGAATTCAGCCATAAAAAGACTAAAAACTCCTGCAGGAATCCCCAGCGTTGGCGAGAAAACGATTCCAATATTACGAACTGTCATCTTATTAATGTCGGAATTTTGTACAATACGGATCAAATGTCCGGTTAATGTCCTTAATAATGTATAATTTGATAAAGGAAGGGCACAGACAAGACGACCAAGTTCATTTATACGATCACGTCGATCAAGAAGGTCTGATAATTAAGATAATTACATTTAATAAGCTTAAAAATTATTGATTGATGAAAACATAAATTTGAATATAACTTACCAATCACATTAACAAATTCTGCGTGTAATTCACGAGTTAGAACACTTGTGGGCAATTCCCTCAGGTATAATTTCAATAGCCCAGCCACAGCATGTACGTCATAATATTCACCCTCGCCTATTAAATCAACATCTCCCTCCGAGTTAAATCTTTCCTTTAAGAATTTGATAGTAGCCGTGGCTCCATTTAAGCGGTAAATTCCTTCTTCTTCTGTAGCATTATTTGCATCCAAATATTCAATACATCGATATACTACAGCAGGCAGTTCATAACCTTCTTTAATTCGTGCTACTGATATAGCATAATCCAATGGCACACCAAAAACAATTTTGGACACGTCAGGTCGAGATTCATGAGATTTCTTTTTATCATCTTTACTACTACCAAACATGCTGCCAAAGAAAGTTTTACGTGACGTTTTTTTCCTTTCAACTTGGTTACTGTCATCATGCGGACGTCTTAAATGTCCATGTATTTGCATTTGGTCTCGTACTCCTTGAACATATGAGGATGGTTGCGGTGGATTATTAACGCTCGTACCACCAACAGGCGAAGCTGTATTTTCTCGGTCAGGAGTACCACTATAGTTCCTACGATCTGGATCGTCTCGACTTAACACGCTACCGCGTTTCACAACTGGAGTTGAAGATACACCCAACATGGATTGCTGTTGATTGCCACCTAAAGAATTCCTTGGTGGATCATTCCATTGGTCCGACTGCTGCAATAATGAACTTGAGCTCTGTACACTAGAGGATGGTGATGATGATAAAGAAGATGATGGATGATGTGAACTATAATTAACACTACTAAAACTAGAAATTGAATCATTTCCTTTTTTCCTATCAGGGCGATTGTCTCTTTGCTGTTCGTTCGCAAGAAGTTTTGCATCGAAAAATTCATGTTTACCAAACTGCGAAATTGGATGAGCACCGACTTTGGCAATGATTTCTTTTGGAAATTTCTTCTTTGAGTTCTTTTTGCTTTCCCGTTCTTCTTCTTCACCTACACCAACATACTGAAGTAAGGCCTCTACCCATTCATCTCTTTCTGCATCACTCTCGGCACATAATACATGTTTATTCTTTGAACCAGTTTTTGGCTCCAAAATTAAGAAAGCGTGCCTAAAGGAATTGTCACTATCCTTGTCCGCTTCATTAATATTATTATTTTGTTGTCGCCCAATTTGTGCATAAGTCAAGCGAATAGAACCGAGATGATTCCCTCCTTTCTATAAAAATTGTTAAAAAAGCAATTATGTATCAATAAGAATCCTACTTCATTTAAATTTTCTTTAAAGAATTAATAAACTCACGCTCTCATAATAGTCAAGCACAGGATTATTCAACACAAAATATCTTGATTTCCAACCACCAAAATTCTTGCCTTTTTTTGTAAGATATCCCTCCTTATATCCGGACTGCTTTATCATTATCAGTAAACAAAAAAAAATTACAACATTTGGTTTTAGTTACAGATACATCATTTATATTAATTCGATATTTAACTATTGAAATTAATCGTACCCTATAATCCTTTTCTTGTTGATCAATTACGTTTGAACTTAAAAATTCACATAAATCTTTAGAATCTTTCAATGGCAATGAAATGACATGTTGAAGATATTGTTCCAATGCAATCTATCATTTAGATAAAATATTTTGAAAATGTAAAACAATTACTAATGAGGCCATAATTTAACATAAAATGTGATAGCAAAAAAAAACACAAACCTTTCTTTGATCTACTTTACTAGGGGCATTATTGTGGAAGAGATTTTTATCCGGTAATTTACCAATTTTATTTATAGTGCTTTTGTTTTGGTGTTGTTTCAACTATAAATTTCCGGAAGAAAAAGTTAATTAGTCAATAATTCAACTATAAGCTTGAATGACAATTAGTAATCTGATCATACTTTTGAATCCAAAGTTAAAAAGTCAGAATATAATTTCTCAACTCTCCATAATTCTTTATCCAACCCAACGACTGAACTATCTTGCACCCTTGCATGTCCTACTGATATTACAAATGCCAACACTTCTTTGCCCTTATCATTATTCTTTTTATTGCTGCCAATAACCTTTACAGCAATGCCAGAAATACCATCTGAGGTAATAGCTTGTGAACCATGTGGTTTTTGGTGTTGCTGCGTAAAACCTGGTTGTTGGAAAGGTTGTTGAGACATTTGCTTTTGAGTCATTTGCTGTTGTTGCGCTTGTGGTGACTGCTGATGAAGACCGTGAGATGGATTCGTCACAATACCAGCGTCAGGAAGAGACCGTTTGTTTTTTATATGTTGAGCTACACGTTCAGCAGCAGGATTATCTCTTGGACTTTGTCCAGGTGTCATATAAACACTGTGACGAGTATTTTGACCGGGAATTGATAACGTGTTAGAATTCAATCCTGGGTTACGTAATTCAGGATAATGCCCACCTCGAGGAGGTGGCATAGCTGAAACTCTAGCTCTTGGTCCAGGTGAGACAGGTGAAATGTAATTAAAAGATTTACTAGGTCTCAATGCCTTTTCTTTTGGAACATTATCCGTAGCTAAATAAGTGTTCCCCAGGTTAGAATCACTATGATTATGAGTCAGAGAATCTCTCCTTGATTTTTTCGAGGAATCTTCGGAATCATCACTAGGCACCGATACAAATGGTTGTGGTGTATTATTATTATCACGAAATGGTAATGATTGTGATCTAATAGGTAAGTTATGTTCTATCGCAGGTATTTGAATAGTACCTTGTAAATTTTGTAAATAACCGTCATTACTTGCATTGTTCTGATCAATTATAATAGTACCGTTTGATATATTAGGCTTGCTATCATGACTAGGACTATGTGGAGGTATAGGCAATTCAGAATCATTACTGGATTTACGTGATTCACTACCATAAGCAAATGCTCTAGGTGAGGATGGTAACTTGGGAGAACGAGGTGGTATAGATGATGATGAGTTTGACAAACCAGGAGACTCAGGAATTTTATGGTCATTTTCCGTTAATGCACTAATACTTTCTTCGGAATCTAACCTATCTACACTATGATTTTCCTCAAAATTTGGCTTTTCCCTAGGCATTGGTTGAGGGAACTGATCTAGAGCATCATTTTCATCCAAATCTGTGTCAATGGTTTGTGCTGTACTATTATGCGTATACCTACTGGTACCGCCACTACTGCCTACGCTTTCAGACCCTGAAGATTTTACTGAAATGGTGGGTGATGGAGGATTCCGTAAAACGGATGAGTCGGAATTTTGTTCAATAGGAAGCGATGTTGGTTGTTCCTGAGAGTTTCGTGGAGAGTCTTGAGAATCTTGAACTTCCGTTAAGTTTGAAGGAGACTTTGGACGATTATCAATTTGTAAAGAATGATGTCGTTGAATAGATTTTGGAGGAAGAACTGGTGATAAAGAATAAAGAGTTTTGACAAGGTTAGATGTATCATTCGAATCAATTGTGATTGAAGAAATTGATTCATTAATATGGGTGATGATACCATTTTCATTTTTCACTGAATTGGTATCTGTTTGCAGTTGATGTGTTTCTTCTTTTTGTTGATCAATTGAACTTGTTTCATCATAAGCCGATACAGATGTTTCAACATTAGTGGATACATCAGATGATGCTGAAATGGACGAATCGTGCTGATTTAGTGATTTTGTTTCTAAAGATGGTGCTTTATCTAATGATGATAATTGTGGTGGTGATGGTTGATTTGATTGACTTGAATTCACGCTTCCAGTTGGTAATTGACGAACAGATTGAACAGGTGGTTTGAATGTACTCGGCGCAGCCGTAACAATAATATCATTAATATTATTTGAATTATTTGAATTATCAGATTCCACGGGTTTTTTATCTTCACTCCCTCCCTTCTCAATTGGCGTCTTTTCGTCCTCGGAACGACTTGAGTTTATGCTATCATTATCCCTAAGTTTTATAATAAGCCTCTCTCTTTCATTGGCAAGCTTTTGATTTTCCTTTTGTAAATTATCTATTACTGATTTTTGTTTCTCTATTAATTTCCACAACTGATCGTTTTGCGATCGTAATTGATTACGTTCAGTTATAACCTGTGATAAAGATTCTGCTCCAGCATTGGCATCTGAGCCAGGTCGTACTTGTTGTTGAGGTTGTTGTTGTGCAGACATTATAATGCAGTTTTCCATTTAAAAACTACATACGACAGCAACACTTTTTTTAAAAAAAAGAAAAAAGAAAAAAATTTTTTTTTTTTTGTTCTCTATATATTAGAAACTTTTTTTATTGTTATTTCCTTTTATAGTTGAAAGAAAAAAAAAAGAAAAAAAAAAAAAAGGAATTTTGGCAGTTGTACCCAGGTTGAAGTTATATTTTATTGGTATTAAAGTAGAGGTGATGAAGGGTATATGAATAATCACAAATAACCGAAATAGAAAGGAATTAAATATCTTTTTTGAATTATTTGTGAAGGATGAAAGATTAAACGAAAGGATAAAGCAAAAAAAAAATTAATTGGTATTCGATAAGATGTCAAGTATAAAGATTTTTGGTAAAGCGAGGAATAGGAAAAAAAAATTTATATTCAACAATACATGAGCAAGAGATATAGGGAAGTAATTTTTTTTTTTTTTGTGTGTTTGTAATATACGTGTACAAAGAAATTAAGTCATGTGCACTTCTTCAATTACCCATGAAGTATAAATTTTTTTTTTGTTTCGCGTTCTATTTGTTACCAATGTGCGGGGCATGTAATGTGAAAAACCAAGCCTATATTTAATTTTTTTTGAGCAGATGATCTCGCGATCACTTGACGATTTATATATATATTTTTTTTTTTTTGAACTTTTCAGATTCTCGGGATTCTCAGTATCACTATTGTTATACACTTGTTTTTATTTTTTGAATTCTTTTATCATACTAAACATAAATGTAATGAATGAATTTGCTTGGAAAAATTTTCCTATTTTATGAAATAACTCTCTTGTTATCTTTTTATTGATTAGAAATCCTTCTTTCCGTCTCTTTAATATCATAAGGATCAATCTTTGCAAGAAATGAATCTGTTTCAAATTAGTTTCTCACTTATTTTGAGTAAAACTCTCTCAAACCAAACAATATATGCTTAATAAGGAAGTTTTAATTAAACTGCCTCGTGAAACTAAATTCTGAATAGGTCTAAATTTGGTTGAAATCGACATTTATCATAAGCTAATACAGTTAACCCATTTTTTTTTTTTTTGAAGATTTCAAATTCAAAAAGAAAACTTGTTTGCAAAAAAAAAAAATAAAATAACTGGGACGTTTGACAAACCAAACACAGTTACGATCATTTAATGTAGTACATTTCTTTTCAATATTGGATCAAAACTTAAAAAAAAAATTAGAAAAAGAAAAAATGAAAACAGATCGGCATATTTAACAAAATTGGGGAATGAAATAAAATTATTTTTCGAATGTTGATCTTTTTTTTTGTTTAATGACTTTTGCTGCGAACAAAAAAAAAAAATACCAGTTAGCTTGTAAAAAATATTTTTAAAAATATTTTGTACAAGCATTAAATGTCACAAAATTCTATTGAAGGAAATCAATACGCATTGTATGTTTTGTTTATTTGATTTTCATTTTACATCAATCCATAAACAAATGCTAGTAATTTTATTTTTTTTTTAAAAAAAAAAAGTGGAGAATGGTATTCATTAAATGCAGTTGTATTTAGGTATGATGGTATGGTCTTGGCGCAGTCAGTAAAAAGCTGACGTGTAACACGCAAGATTATCAGATTAAATTTTTTGATAGGCATTTTCCGCGCATGTAACTGATAATGATAAGGCGTTTGATCGATCAAGATTAAATATAATCTACCACTTCTCTACGAAATAATTTACCTTTGATCGTGCACTTATTAAACGTTCAATATGCTCAAGACTTTTGTTAGAACAACGACACCAATCCTTGCTGCCGCAAAAAAGGTAAATACTTTAGTTTGTTGCGTAATTTCAAAAAAGGGTATATATTAATGGTACTTGAATTTTGAATTCCATTGAATTTAAAGAATTTTCCTCGCGCAGTTAGCTCGGTCGTAACGCCAAGTGATACCTCTCTAGTAAGTGTTATGTATTTTGCTCGGGCTGGGCTTTATCTACGCTCTCACTCTTGTTAGGATATTAGTAAGAACATATATGCAGGAATTTGTTGAAAAATCGAGATAGATTAATTTGCTGTTAAAATTATCAAAAGCTTTAACGTTAAACTTTATATTTGAAAGTTCTAATCTCATCTATTCTAATTAATTAAGTTAAATACCTCTAAATATGGAGGAAAATACACTGTAACACTAATCCCTGGAGATGGAATTGGTCAGGAAACTGCAGCAGCTGTCAAGACAATCTTCAAGGCAGCCAATGTCCCAATTGAATGGGAGCAATTGGATGTCACAGGCTACACTCAAGAAGGGGATCTGTTATTTAAACAAAGTGTGGATAGTCTAAGGAGGAATAAAGTCGCGTTGAAGGGTACGCGTATTTTATCATTCAAATTGACAACGTGTTAATGTTATTTAATTAAATTTAAACCGGTATTATAGGTATCCTGTATACACCCATATCAAAATTGGGTCATCAGTCATTTAATGTTACTCTGCGTAAAGATTTAGATATTTATGCATCTCTAGTTATTGTCAAGAATATTAAAGGTTATCCTACCCGTCATAATAATGTGGACTTTGCAATCATCCGTGAGAATACAGAGGGTGAATATTCTGGGTTGGAACATCAGGTGTGAAATAAAATGTTGTCATGTAAATCAAATCAAAGATTTTTTATTTTATTTTATTTGATTTTCTATTTAGATATTTATTTAATTATTTAAATCTTGATTTTATGCTACCGATTAGTCATTTCCAGGAGTTGTAGAATCTCTCAAGATTGTAACTAAGGCAAAGACGGAACGTATTGCGCGTTTTGCTTTTGACTTTGCCCTTAAAAATGGTCGTAAAAAAGTCACATGTGTCCATAAGGCTAATATCATGTATGAAAAAATTTTCGGGTTTTTTTTTTATTTTTTTTTTTTTTATTAATGTATATTTTCAAATTGAAATTTCATAGGAAACTTGGAGATGGACTTTTCCTTAACACTTGTCGTGAAGTTGCCGAAGATTATAAATCGTCGGGAATTGAATTTAACGATATGATTGTTGACAATTGTTCCATGCAGTTGGTATCTAAACCTCAACAATTCGATGTAATGGTGATGCCTAATTTGTATGGTAATATTGTCAGCAATGTAGGAGCGGCATTGGTTGGTGGTGCTGGTATCATACCCGGTGCCAATATCGGTAGAGAATTCGCCTTATTTGAACCCGTAAGAAAATTCACGATTAATCTTTGTTCTTGCTTATCTGTGAATAAATTATCTCATAATAGAGTCAAAAAAAAATTCTAGGGATGTCGTCATGTCGGTAAAGATATACAGGGTCATAATACCGCTAATCCAACTGCATTGCTTCTTTCTGGGGTAATGATGCTTCGACATTTGTCACTTAATGACTTTGCCAATAGAATTAATAATGCAGTTTATCAAACAATTCAAAGAGGATCGGTACATATAACTCTTTTCATAAATTTTTTTTTTTTTTTATTCTTTTGCACTTTAGAACTTTTGATCTAATGTTCAATTTATTAATTAGGCCAAAACGCCTGATATGGGAGGCACATCTACAACAACGGACTTTACCCTTGCAGTAATTTCAAATTTGTAGCAATGCAACTCAATTTCCACACAGAGAAATGAATTCAAATGTAAAGAAGACAATGTTAAAGATGATTTGATTGCTCATACATTGAAAGGAAAACGTGTGGAAAATAATATGGATTTTGAGGGAGGGAGAATGAGATTTAAAAAAGAATGTTTATTAATTTTAATTAAGTTAATACATTTATTTAAATTATTAAAAAAGAAACACCCATAAATTTAAAAGATAATAATTCCATGGAAATCGTGACCCTGTTGATTTGTGAATTTGACCAATAACCGTTAATGTTGAAATAAAATATTTCAGAATACGTACGAAAAGAAAGTGAGCGTAAATGTTAATGACATGAAATTCCATATCGAATGGATATCACGTGAGTTTTCTTTACTCGAAAGTCATTTAATTTTATTGTGTGATAAACGATACATAGGGAATTCAACGCCCTTTTTATACGATAGTCAATTCTTAGGACTACCCAAAGTTGATGCATGTAGGTTTAAAAAAACTTGAGCACAATCCATAAAAGACGTTATAAGGAGTAAACATGAAAAAGTATCAAAAATTATCAATCTAAGTTTTCTTTGTAAAATTAACAAATTTAAAAGAATCAGAAAAGGAAATCGTATTGTATTCATTCATATAATCATTCATTATTTGGGACGTAATCTTTTAACAACAACTCGATATGTGTTGACAAATCATGTACTCCCATACAAGCCACACAAAGAAATCTATCTACATATTGATCTAGAGTTTAGAGCTGATAATGCGTTCTCTATTCTTACTTGTTCATGTTTTGATAAAATTCTCGCATAATGATCTCACGCGTCTCAATTCTAATTTGAGAGTTGTTGAATCATTTTTTTTTTTTTTTCTCTAGCACTTGAACATTCGTGAAACTGCATAATAATAAATAAAGATTAAGATTTTACTCCCCCCAATAAAAAAGAATGAATGAATGAATGAAAAAAAAAAAACTGCAAGGAAAATCAGAAAAGAAACGATTCTCATTTATTATATTTGTTACACGAAAATCCGTAAACACGATAAAAGATTAAAAAGATTCGGATAAACAAATATGATTGAAAATGGGAAGAACTCGAAAGTAAGATAAGGTCAAATTAAAAAATATAAAAGGTTAGTCATTTATCGAATTATCGAATCTAAAAACAAAACACCTTATTGATCAATCTAAATAAGTAAAAATTATATAACTCGCAAAAAAATGTCGAATATGCATTATTTTGTTTATTGAAACATATTTGTGACAAATTGGCGCGGAGTGAACTCAGAGTTCAAGATAGTAGATCACATCAAAGGTACAGTACAGTACGAGATGTAGAACAAACATTTCTGTGAGTTATAAAACTTGTGTGATCCTTTGAGATATGTCAGATTTCGCGAGATAATGCTTCCTAATTTCGGCTGGAATTATAAAAAAAAGCTTGATTCGGGCTAGAATTTCCGGAGTGTATCGGTTGGTAAGGAAAAAATTCACGATTTTCATTGGGGAGCAAAAGATATTTGAGGCATGGGTACCCTAATGATAAACGTTGGCGTCATTTCCAAACCTCCTTCTCTATTTCCCCGTCCCTTTTTTTGAAGGGACCAAATATTATCTAGTCTCGGACCCCCCGTCTATTTATACAAATGTGGTTAGAATCAATGGATTTTCATATTCTTTTTTTCGAATTGACGAATTTCGGAATTTCGGAAAAAACTTGTTGCAATATTACTTTGCGTCCATCCAGATACGTTTTACCGGTTCGTTTCACCTATGGGTTCATTTCCCCAACGATCTTCATCCCCATAACCTTATGATATTCATGTTTAAAAAAAGTCATCTCGACCGAACCAATCGGCAAAAGGTTACGAAAATGGACCATTTGTTAAAACTGTTTTTTTTTTTTAATTTCACTTGTTTAATTAAAATCAAGAATCAATCATAATGATCCCCCGGTTGACAAATTGAATCATGAAATAATTTTAAATTCAACTTGTAACGTACTGTGTGATGATGATACCTAGAATTTCCGCGTGTACTTTTATTTATACAATTTGAAAATCTCCTGGTGCATTTTTGTACAAATTGCGCTCGGCTTGATTGCGCTCACTGAGCAATAAAGAAATTGTGCATTCATATGATTGGATTGGTGCTCACCATCGATTAATTAAATTTTACCAAATTTGGAAGAATAAAAAACTTTATTTTCGTCCTGTACAAGAGCGTAAATGACATACAACATAAAAATTGATATGTCTTAATGCATACGCATAAATATTTGCATACACACTTGAGATCACGTACGTTCAATCTTATAAAATAAAATGAAACAAAAAAAAAAAGATTTGCTCTATATAATTGACAAATAATGGCAATAAATGCCAAAAGATCATCAATTGTAACTTAAAAAAAAAGCCTATCTTTATTTTTTATTAAACAATTTACTAATTTGGACGTTGAACAAAGAGAATA